ATCATATTTAATTTAATTACATGTTTTAAATAGGTAAATTGTATGGTATGTGAATTTAATCTAAGTAAAACCATTAAAAATACGATGTGGCCCTGCCAGTGTGACTCAGTGGTTAAGCATCAACCTATGAACTAGGAAGTCATGGTTCAATTCCCGGTTGGGGCACATGCCCAAGTTTTTAAATTTTTATTTATTTAAATTTAAATTCTTTATTGTTTAAAGTATTACATAAGTCTCCTTTTCCCCCCATCGACTTCTCCCTAGCCGTTCCAACCCCCCCAGCACATGCCCTCACCCACTCCTACTGTCTGTGTCCACTGGTTATTATGCTCATATGCATGCATACAAGTCCTTTGGTTGATCTCTTCCACCCTCTCCACTGCCTTCCCTCTTAGGTTGGATGGTCTGTTTGATGCTTCTATGTCTCTGGATCTATTTTTGTTCATCAGTTTATGTTGTTCGTTATATTCCACAAATGAGTGAAATCATGTGATATTTATCTTTCTTGATTATGCCTAGGCTTTGAGCTCATTCCCCAGTGTGAGACGTGCAGGAGGCAGCCGATCAATGATTCTCTCTCATCATTGATGTTTCTAGCTCTCTCCCCCTCTCCCTTCCTCTCTGAAATCAATAAAAAAATATTTTTTTAAAATATATTTTATTGATTTTTTACAGAGAGGAAGGGAGAGGGATAGAGTTAGAAACATTGATGAGAGAGAACCATCGATCAGCTGCCTCCTGCACACCTCCTACTGGGGATGTGCCCACAACCAAGTTACATGCCCTTGACCGGAATTGAACCTGGGACCTTTCAGTCCGCAGGCCGATGCTCTATGCACTGAGCCAAACTGGTTACGGCATAAAAAAATATTTTTAAAACATATAATGTGAAAACAAAAGCTTTAAAAAATGCATGCAGCCATTCATTTTCCAAGAATGAAGAAAAATCTGAATTAGGAAAACTGGGAAATAAGTCACATGAAGCAGTTATGATGTAGGTTGGGCTGAAACTCATGTAGCATGCTAACAAGATCTTTTCTACTTAATCGAATGAAATGGTAGAGACCTTTAAGGAGAGAGCTAAACATGTAAAGAACATCCCAGGTGATGCCAGGATGGACAGAACTGAAAATGTATAGTGCAGGAAAACAACCTAAATTTAAAATAGAATGGAGGAAAGGTGATTGCTGCTCTCACACACACACAAAAAGAGAAGTCATAGGCCAGCTGCCATGATGATGAGTAAAATATATAGAAAGAAAGTGGACATTAGACAATTTTTTTCTACCTCCACGCCCCTCCATCCCTACCCCAACCCCACTGCACTCAAGATTTTGGCTTTAGGGAAGAGTGAACAGCATGAGTACGTTTATTCGACCACTAAACAGTGGATTTATTGTTTGCCTTTCTTTTCTGAACTTTCACCTTTCCTCCCCACCCAAAGAATTACCTCCTCTACATCTAGAAAGATCCATTCACACCAATTTTCCCCAATCTCTCATTTGGTCCAGGACTTCATTAATTAGCCTCATTGATTACCCTTGCCTTTTTTTCCCCTTTTAATCCTGCCCTATATGTAGCGTTGGGCCAAACTTCTCCTGAAAACTGATCCTTCAAATGAATTTCTGATGATCTCTATGCTACCCACTAGGAACATCTGAATCTCAGTTCAGACTCAAACTGGAAAACAGTTATATGGACTAGTAAATTTTACCAAACACTAAATGTACACATTTCTTAAAGTAAAACAGGCCAATAAAAATATCTTCCAAATTGAACTTGACCCAAACAGATGAATCTTCCTGGTTCAATTCCAGATACAAAATTGTTTTGATTTTCAACCTCATCTCAAGATGTTTAGAGAGGAAACCAGTTAAAGACACCCGTATCTATTAGTTCTATTTCCAGGTCTCTGGCAGATTCTCCATTAGACAATACTGAGGGAGTAGTCAATTTGGGAGTCCATTTCACAGAACAGAAAGAGGTCAACTCATGGGAATAGAGGAGATGTTTAATATTGATGAGAACTGAGTATGAAGAACCTTGATGGGACCAAGGCAAAGAACACATAAATGCACTGTGAAAATGAGGTCATCCCGGGACCCACCATCCAAGATGGTGTTGGATGTTATGAAGGAAAATCACTATTTTCCAACAGAGCAGGTAGGCCCTGTCGTAAGAAAAAAATGATGAATTGCCTGGCTCAGTGGATGAGTGTTGACCTATGAACCAGGAGGTGACAGTTCAATTCCCAGTCAGGGCACATGCCCGGGTTGCAGGCTCCATCCCCAGTTGGGGTGTGAGGAGGCAGCTGATCAATGATTCTCTCTCATCACTGATGTTTCTGTCTCTTCCTTCCTCTCCCTTCCTCTCTGAAGTCAATAAAATATATATGAAGAAAAAGGTGATGAATTCAAAGTTCTGTCTTTCCAGAGAGGCCTGGAAAGTGGAATTTCATAGCAAGAGAGGTGCTAACATAGGCAGAGACAGTGTGGCTGTGGATAAAGAAATAAAAAAGATCTGAGAATCGCCCTGACCAGACTGAAGGGTCCCAGGTTCGATTTTGGTCAAGGGCATGTACCTTCGTTGTGGGCACATCCCCAGTGGGAGGTGTGCAGGAGGCAGCTGATCAATGTTTCTCTCTCATTGATGTTTTGGACTCTCTATCCCTCTCCCTTCCTCTCTGTAAAAAATCAATAAAATATATTAAAAAAAAAAAAAGAACTGGGAATCATAGGGCAAAGAAAACCACACAAAGAAAAACAAGAGTAGAAAAAAATAAATGGGTCAGAGCTCAGAAGAGACAAATGGGGTATGTTATATTCCAAATTTTTACAAAGAAAAAATGGGTTCTCATATGTGGCAGAATGGTTTGAGTTTCCTCATTCACTGTCACTGCTCTGATGCCATTTCTGACTAGAATGTGACTTCCCGGCCGCCTACCTTGCTGGCTCTCACCCCCTCACCTGGAAAGACTGGACAGTGGAGTTCATCTTGTACTATCCACAGTTCCTCCCCTCGTTCTAATTTGGAGAGCACGTCTGGTTTGGGGGCTTGATATCCTGCGCAAGAAAAAAATGACAAAAGACTTAGACATACTGAATTGGGTGGGATTTGTCAAGAAGGGAGAATGAACAGTTTTTACAGCTAACACAATACTTTTTCTATTAGGAGAGGGGACATTATAATATCTTGCGTGGGGCAAGAGAAGGATCTGAGATTGCATCATGTCAGAGAACTGGAGTTATTCTGAAAGTTAAGCAGCTGAGAAAGGAAAAAGCCACTAACAGGGCAGCATCTGAGTGACACAGGGAAGTTGTCCTCACCCAGGGCCATTAGGTGGCTGTAGTTCTCCATCATCACGTCCCTGTACAGGTCCTTCTGATCAGGGTCCAGGAGTTGCCACTCCTCTGAGGTGAACTCCACGGCCACATCGTGAAATGTCAGGGAGTCCTGTAACAACAACATGCTGTTTAATGGCGTGAAGTCTTTTTAAAAAATATATATATTTATATTTAGTGTTGACAGTATTACAGATGTACCCCATTTTCCCTTCGACAGATACATTCCTTTTAAAAATATATATATATTTATTGATTTCAGAGAGGAAGAGGAGAGAGACAGAAACATCAATGATGAGAGAGAATCATTGATCAGCTGCCTCCTGAACACCCCTCACCGGGGATCGAGCAGCAACCCACGCATGTGCCCTTGGCCGGAATCGAACCTGGGATCCTTCAGTCCGCAGGCTGACGCTTTATCCACTGAGCCAAGCCTGCTAGGGCAATGGCGTGAAGTCTTTTAAGATGCTATGGAAAAAATGTTACTTTTGTGATCATTTTCACTTTATACGTTGCATCTATATAGTGAATGGGGTTTTATTTTATATACAGTGGAATAACCACATGCCTCGTAAAATACTATTTTATAATTGTTCATTCATCTATGAATTCATCCAATTAGGTGTTACTATAATGTAAAGAAGTTAAATTTTTTTGTTAGCCTAGAAACACCTTTCATATATTCTAAGTTATATACTTGAGACTATATATATATATATTTTTTTCCAGATTAATGAAGGTGTATTTTTTTAAATCCAAACCCAAGAATTTATTTATTATTATTATTTTTTTCTACTGATTTATGAGAGAGAGAGGAAGGGAAAGGGAGAGACACAGAGAGAGAAACATCTTTTGGCTGCTTCCCTTATGTGCCCCTGACTGGGAATTGAATCTGAAACCTTTTTGGTGTACAGACCAATTGTGCCCCTCGGCTGGGCATGAAGTTGGTTTTCATAGACTTCTGCAAATCCGCTACTGAAGAAAGAGAAACCACCCAGTCACCTGAGCCTGGAGCATGTTCTTCTGTTCTCCGAAAAGCGCTGGTAACTGGGAGGCTCTGTGTTGGTGTGTTCGGGGTCTGCTCTAAACTTCTGCTCAGAAATCTGTCTTCAGTCAGGTATGTCCCAGGAAATGCTGCAGCTTCCCCCTGCTTCTTCCTAGAATAAAAGAACATTATTCTATTGTTCCTGGTGTCATCTTAAGATACGTCCAAACCTGTAGAGAATTTTTCTGAGTTTGAGTCAAACTGAAAACAATTGCCAGGAAGCAAAATAAGAACGGATTAAGACTGCTTTACAGAACAGCAGTTCTGCAGCTTATTTTATACATCAGAATCAAAGAAAAGGAGGGTTACATCAAATCCACTGGTGAGAGATTAGGGAAGGGGGAGAAAGCAAAGCAAGGAATTCTCTAGGACTGGGTAAAAAGTAAAAGAAATAGACACATACTTCTTCTACGAAGGTGGGATAGGACAGTTGACAGTTAATAATTAATGTGATAACAATAACAATGATGAGCTCTGAAATTGCTTGCTCTATGGGAGATTGGGTCCTGAGGGGTCTGGAAAAAAAATTTAACCCGACATTCCAAAGGTATGTTATCTTTGATGCAAAAAGACAATGGACAGCCTGTTTGCTTCGTTGCTACAAAGAGCGTCAGATGGGTCACCAGCAGCTCTACTGGAGCCATCCAAGGAAATTCGGCCAGGGTTCTCGTTCTTGCTGTGTTTGCTCAAACCTCCACGGTCTGATCCGGAAATATGGCCTCAACCGGTGCCGCCAGTGTTTCGGTCAGTATGCGAACGACATAGGATTCATTAAGTTGGACTAAGTGAACATCCATGAATGAGTCATTTAAGACATATACCTTATGACAGAATGCTATCTGTTTTTACATAAAATAAAAAATAAAAAAACCTTCAAAAAAAAAAAAAAAGACAATGGACAATTAAGGCATACAATGACTCAGTGGATTGAGTGTTGTCCCATGCACCAAGAGGTTGCTGGTTCGATTCCTGGTCAAGGCCTGCAAGAGGCAGCAGATTGATGTTTCTCTAACTTTGAGGTTTCCATCTTCTCTCCCTCTCCTTTCCACTCTGAAATCAATAAAACTCTCTCTCTCTCTCTATATATATATATATATTTTTTTATTTTTTTTTAAAGAATGGAATTGGAGAGAAACCAAGATGGCAGCATAGATAAACACCGGAGTTTGCTGCCTCGAACAATCACTTCAAAAATACAACTAAAAGACGGAACGGACATCATCCAGAACCGCAGGAAGGCTGGCTGAGTGGAAGTTCTACAACTAGGAGGAAAGAGAAAAGCATACCGAGACTCAGAAGAGGCGCAGTGCTGAAGTCAAATACTAAGGTGCGGAGTGCATGCGGAGTGGGCTGGCGGCTCAGGGCATGGTTGTCGTTTTCAATCGGGAGGGAGTCTCAGGCTCTGAGCTCCAGTTCCGGGCGAGTCTCTAGGGATCCAGACTCATACGGGAGAAGTGGGACTGTCTGGCATCGGTCAGAACCCTAGGGCAGCTTTCTCTCTGAGGGGCTTGTAGCGATTACCGGGACACCGAGAAGCAGAGCCTCTGAGGGCAAGGCTGAGAGCAGCCATAACTGCTAGCCCTGTCCTGTTGATCCCATGGGACCCGCCCCGCCCAAGCCCTGCAGGGAGACTTTTGCTGGATAGCCTCAGGCAAAGGCTAGATTAGCACCTCCCTAGAGATCCAAGAGCCAGGAAGCCCAGAGGTCAGAGTGGGACCATCCAGTTTGCAGCTCCGTGGAACCATAAAAGACACACTCAGGGAGCAGACTCAGTGAGCACCAAAGCCCCACCGAAACAAGTCTAGCCCCAGAGGGGTGTCTCCAGCACAGAAGTTCTCCCACTGCAGACACAGCTGATTCTCACAGCCAATTGGCCTGGAGGTCAATTCCTCACAGTGATAACTACAACAATCAAGGCTTACTTACAACAAGACTGTGCACAAAGCCCACAAGGGGGTGCACCAAGAGTGTCTACCTCAGGTAATTGGGACACTTAGCACTCTATCAACACAGCGAAGCATAAAAAATGCCGAGACAAAGAAACAGGACACAAACGACAGAATGGGAGGAAAGCAAACTACTGGATATAGAGTTCAAAACCACACTTTCAAGGTCTTTAAAGAACTGTCTAGAAGCCGCCGATAAATTTAATAAGACCCTCGAAAAGACTGGTGAGACCGCCGATAAATGTAGTGAGATCCTCAAGAAGACTGGTGAAACCCTCGATGTTGTGATAAAGAACCAACTAGAAATTAAGCATACACTGACTGAAATAAAGAATATTATACAGACTCCCGCCCTAACCGGTTTGGCTCAATGGATAGAGCGTCAGCCTGCAGACTGAAGGGTCCCAGGTTCGATTCCGGTCAAGGGTTGCGGGCACATCCCCAGCAGGGAGTGTGCAGGAGGCAGCTGATGGATGTTTCTCTGTCATCGATGTTTCTAACTCTCTATCCCTCTCCTTTCCTCTCTGTAAAAAAATCAATAAAATATATATTTTTTTAAAAAAGAATATTATACAGACTCCCAACAGCAGAACAGAGGATCGCAAGAATCAAGTCAAAGATTTGAAATACGAGGAAGCAAAAAACACCCAACCGGAAAAGCAAAATGAAAAAAGAATCCGAAAATACGAAGATAGTGTAAGGAGACTCTGGGACAGCTTCAAGCATACCAACATCTGAATTATGGAGCTGCCAGAAGATGAGAGACAGCAAGATATTGAAAACCTATTTGAAGAAATAATGACAGAAAACTTCCCCTACCTGGTGAAAGAAATAGACTTACAAGTCCAGGAAGCGCAGAGAACCCCAAACAAAAGGAATCCAAAGAGGACCACACCAAGACACATCATCATTAAAATGCCAAGAGCAAAAGACAAAGAGAGAATCCTAAAAGCAGCAAGAGAAAGAAAATCAGTTACCTACAAGGGAGTACCCATACGACTGTCAGCTGATTTCTCAACAGAAACTTTGCAGGCCAGAAGGGAGTGGCAAGAAATATTCAAAGTGATGAATACCAAGAACCTACAACCAAGATTACTTTATCCAGCAAAGCTATCATTCAGAATTGAAGGTCAGATAAAGAGCTTCACAGATAAGAAAAAACTAAAGGAGATCATCACCACCAAACCAGTATTATATGAAATGCTGAAAGGTATCCTTTAAGAAGAGGAGGAAGAAGAAAAAGGTAAAGATACAAATTATGAACAACAAATACACATCTATCAACAAGTGAATCTAAAAATCAAGTGAATAAATAATCTGATGAACAGTATGAACTGGTGATTGTAATAGAATCAGGGACATAGAAAGGGAATGGACTGACTATTCTTTGGGGGGTGGGGAAGAGGTGTGGGGGTGAGGGAAGAGATTGGACAATAATCGTACACCTATGGATGAGGACAGTGGGTGGGGAGTGAGGGTGGAGGGTGGGGTGGGAACTGGGTGGAGGGGAGTTATGGTGGGAAAAAAGAGTAACTAATGTAATAATCTGAACAATAAAGATTTAATTAAAAATAAATAAATAAATAAAAAGAGTGGAATCAGCCAAATATCCTACTATAGACAGTGATTTAAAAAGCCCTAGCTGGGCCCTGGCCAGTTTTGCTCAGTGGATAGAGGGTTGGCCTGCAGACTGAAAGGTCCCAGGTTCGATTCTGGTCAAGGGCATGTACCTTGGTTGCGGGCACATTCCCAGTGGGTGGTGTGCAGGAGGCAATTGATCGATGTTTTTCTAACTCTCTATCCTTCTCCTTTCCTCTCTGTAAAAAATCAATAAAATATATTTTTAAAAAAGAAAAAAAAAAAAAAAGCCCTAGCCAGGCCCTAGGCCAGTTTTGCTCAGTGAATAGAGCATTGGTCTGTGGATTGAAGGGTCTGGGGGTCAATTCCAGTCAAGGGCATGTACCTTGGTTGCAGGCTCAACTCCCCGGGCACATGGGGGAGGCAACCAATCAATGTCTCTCTCACATCAGTGTCTCACATCAATGTTTCTCTCTCTCTGTGTCTCTATTCCCCCCCCCCCACACTCTCTCTAAAATTAATGGAAAAATATCCTCCAGTGAGGTTTAACAACAACAACAAAAAAGTAAATGTCGCCCTAACCGGTTTGGCTCAGTGGATAGAGCATCGGCCTGTGGACTGAAGAGTCCCGGGTTCGATTCCGGTCAAGGGCATGTACCTTGGTTGCAGGCATATCCCCAGTAGGGGGTGTGCAGGAGGCAGCTGATTGATGTTTCTCTCTCATCGATGTTTCTAACTCTCCATCCCTCTCCCTTCCTTTCTGTAAAAAACCAATAAAATATTAAAAAAAAAAAAAAAAAAAAGTAAATGTCCTTCACAGCTTCTACTAGGTTTTCAGAGCTTCTCCCAGGTCTGTAGTTTCTTCAAGTCAACCAGCCTAAATAAAGAATCAACATCCCATAGAGACATGTTTTAGGGTGGGAAATGCTCCCCTTCATACTCAAGGAATTGTGTATTTAAAAGAGAAAATTCTTTCCCAGAAACGACTAACAGATTGTCACATATATAGCTGGTTAGAACTGTGCCATGTACCTAAGCTCATTTCAAATTGATTCAATCACTAGCAATGGGAATTGGAACCACCAAGGTTGTCGAACACAGATCAATACTTACTAATACACTGGCATATGGGTCATGCTACCAAAGGGATGGTATTAAATAAAATGGAGATTCAGTTAGCAAAGAAATACCTATGAACATATGACAGGCAAATAGGCAACAGTGTCTGCTGCTGTATACTCAGAGGTGAGTTCAGGCATTGTGTTGGCAAACATTCTCTGAAAGAGAGATGAACATGTTCCAATTTGCAAACCAAAACCTATATCACAACAACCCAGTTTTGCCTTTGCAGCGAGAAAAGTGGCAAAGAGGATACATGACAAAGGCATGTTGTTGGTTTATCTTCTGAATTTGTAGTCAGTCAACTACTAGATTAAAAGTTAAGCCCTAACTGGTTTGGCTCAGTGGATAAAGCGTTGGCCTGCAGACTGGAGGGTCCCAGGTTTGATTCCGGTCAAGGGCATGTACCTTGTTTGCGGACACATCCCCGGTAGGAGGTGTGCAGGAGGTGGCTGATCAATGTTTCTCTCTCATCGATGCTTCTAACTCTCTATCCCTCTCCCTTCCTCTCTGTAAAATATCAATAAAATATATTTTAAAAATAAAAATAAAAGTTAAAACACACACACACACACACACACACACACACACACAGAAAGATTGGAATTAGTACTCTGGGTCCTAAGGCCTTCTGTCCCAACAGCAGCCGAGGCTGTAACCTTAAACACCAATAATCCCCCGCGTCCAAAACTTCACCCTCACAAACCTCTCCGGACCACGGACACCGATCACACTTCCTTTATTAAACAGAAACCTGGGTCGGCCACCCGCATGGGACGGCCACCCACCCAGGCCCCCAAATCTCTAAGCTGCCTACCAAAAAAACCCCAACCTGAACCCGACTCCGCCAATCTTCCTAAATGCCTCCGAGATCCCTTACAGGCGGGGTGCCCTGCAGAACCCCAGACCCCGACAGTCAGGACAAGGGCGTGATCTCTACAGACTCTTCATCTGGGCACCGGCCCCGGGGGCACCCCGACCATAGACAGATGCCTCTGGTTCCCTTCAAATACCTCAATTCCCGTGTCCGTGTAGTTCCCCTCAGCAGCCTCCTCTTGGGCGCTCCTACCCTCCCCCTCCGACCCAGGTGATCATTCCAAGCTCCTCACGACACCACGTGCACACGTCACACTGAAAGAAAC